GAAAAAAAGGAGGAGATGGAGGAGGAAAAGAGTACTTATAGCATGAAATGAAGAACAAAAGAAGAACGGTAGGCAACGCTCTCCTCCGTTCGTGCTACGAATTCAGTTTGACGGTGCTTCCTGCGAGTACACCGAGAGGAACACTGCTCCTTTATCTCCTCCATCTCTGATTGAATAAATACGATCCATAATTTCGATGCGAAGAGACTCCTCTTTCTTCCCCTCTTTTTCTATCTCAGTCTGCCTCGTGGAAGGATTCGTGTAATTCGCAAGCAAGATAGATACGGCAGTTTCGAAAGAGCAGCGCGATGCAAATCTCGCCGAATAATTTCCGAATCCACGCGATAACATTTGGCCCCGCGTAATGGGCTCGCAAAAGTGCATCTCGCCGAGCACTTTTTTCTATCTCGTTGCGCGCGCTCTCCGCAATGAAGAAATTTTACGCGACAGTCTTTTTACGACTCTCGTGAAGCCACGCGGCCTGCTTGCTTCCCAATTCTGACGTTAAAAGATGCACGCACTCGTATTCGCACTGGCGTTTGCGTTCGCGCATCATTTCGCTCGTACGAAATGTCAAAAGAAAAAAAAAGGGATGGAGAGACAGAAGAGAAGCTAGTGAGAGAAACAAAACGGGCCGCGAGCTCTTAAATCTCCCTTACCCACTCGACCGCTGCTGCAAAATTCACTGCGAATCCGTAAGCGACGCAAAAAAAATTTCTAGGTCGAACGCGAAGGAGGTGGAGCTCGTGAGTGGGCGAAGTTGCGTGTACAGGAATTTGAAGATAAATTTCGCACTCTATGCTCGAATTAAATTCCACGGCGCGGCGAGGAAAAACTGTGTCCGGCCGCGAGAGAGCAAGAGAATGAGAAAGGCAGAGAGAAAGAGAGAGAGAGAGAGAGAGAGAAGAAGAAGAGATAGGAAAAAGGAGAGACCGGACCGAAATTGTTCTCTGTCTGGATGGTTCGGTATGTGATAAGCTGACGGTTTAGTTCGTGAGCGCATGCACGAGATATCGCGATAAAAAGCGACACGGGCCAAAATGTTGTATATTGATTGCGCGAACGAATTATGTAGATTATAACTCGGAAAATAACGCGCCCATATTGTTGCGAACCTATGTGTATCAGAAAATAACGAGGATTAAATGAAAGATCTAACTAAAATTAGAAAAAGCTTGACCGTAAATTTATATTGTTGGATAATTATATTCAATTATACGGCATGATTCTGATAATTTTTCCAAATCTCACTTTTAAAATTTAATATCTTCTCACACAGACATCCTATTATAAAAATATGAGCTACAGCTCATTTTTTAACTCGAACCTTCTGCTTTTTAATTAACGCTAATACACAATTTCGTCATAAATGCTATATCTAATTAATTAACAAAAACTGTGCCGACAACAACTCATTATACAAGAATAAACTGTAAGCAAGATACATTTAACCAAATTTTTAGTATATATTTAAGAATTATTTTTCACCACCATGTATATAATAAATCATGTTTATAAACATTTAACGCAAATCGCTCTGATTTCTTCGTGTCGTATCATTATTTGTTTTAACAATATTGTCACGAGCCAACTGCTTTAAACCGAATACGGCGGCTCGCAATTCGGGAATAATTTAATCATTTTTATGTACGGCCAGGTCTCGTGGGACTTAACCGGCCGAATCAAATGGCGAGAGTGTGTGTAGGAGAATCGATGGCGGTTACAGCGCCGGCGATATCGCATATCTTCAGAACGGGATTTCCCGTTCGCGGGTATCTCCTATCGCCTGATCCGCCGCGCAATATGGGCGAGCTAAGAACAATGCGCGAAATTAAATTCTTCCTAGCACGTGGGGAGACGTGAAGAGCGAAGAAAGGGAGGAAGGAAGAGCGATGTGAATAGAACAAGAGAGGAATACCACCGGATTTTGGTTTTTTTTTCTCGCGCGAACTCGACAAGCAAAGTGCGAACACAACGCGCATAGAAATTCAGAAAATTCACGCGACTGCGCTGCCGTGGATTCGCGCGTGTTTAATCTCCCGCATCGCCGGTTCAACCCTTTCCTGTTCTCGGGATCCTACTACGAGCAATTTGTCGATGTTTAGTAGTCGCGGATAGAATGATGTCGCGTCGACGGAACAATCGATGGAGTAAATTTGAAAACGCGCGTTTTCGGTTAAATGAAATATAATAAAACAAATATTTATATGATGTACGCGCGCATGTTGTATACACGCTTTTATTTCCCTTCCCTCCCTAATCCCCTCCTCTCACTCCCTCCCTACGTCACACGCAGCGACTATGCGGTACGCAGGTGGTGTAACGGATGTATATCGCTATGCGCGGGAGTGTTCGTGGGTATGGCAAATGGCATGTGATCCGTCCCCGGATGCCAATCGTTGGAAAATTTCGGCCATGGCGGAACGAGTGGATCAATGTTACACGACCTGCTACATTGGCCTTCTGATAGATAACGCGACCTCTTGCGCATGAATAGCTCTGGGCAACATTCCACACCGCCGGTGGCGGTGCGTATCCTTTCCTTTCCATCCCCGTCATCCCTCACGAGAGATATCTTTCTGTTTCGGCATGTCGTTTCTCGTTTCTCGTTTTAAAGAGAGGCGATTAAGATCGCGTCGTTGTGTTCTCGTTCCTTCGCCGACGAAATCTCGCACGTTTCTCACGGCGGGAGATTAAAGGACGTTAAATGCCTCGTCGCCGTCAACGGCGTTTGCCCGGTATATTGCCCGATTCACGTTGTGGAATTCGAGCTGCAGCGGCTTACGTACGTAAGCGCGCCGCGAATTGCAAGCTGAAAAAGCTGGGAAACAAGGCGCGGTGTCAACGATAACGATAACGGCGTGGCAACAAGTGCTTTTAACGTCCTAACAGGCGAACGTTCGCTTGCATTCTTGGGAAAGTGCTCGGCGCATTACTCTCAAAGGACCGCGCCGCAACGGTTCGGCGGGATGATGGAACATAGTGGTCACCGAGACGAGACAGAAAAGGACAACGAGATGCGTTGCGCAGCATCCGAGCCATTCGAATGAATTCTTTAAGCAGTCTCTCTTCAACTTCTCTCCTTTTCTCTCCTTCGCCGGTTCTCTACCCGCATTCTCCCCCTTTGTCCCTGCCGGCATCGTGTTTGTTTCTTCGGGGTGTCTTGCTCTTTCAAAACCCGGTTTCTTTCCGCCTCGTGGTCGAGTCTCGGCATAATTCGTCTCGTGTCCTTTACGAAATCACGCTTTTGATTTTTTTCATCTATATGTTGAATACCTTGCATATGCGTATATGGGAGGAAAGAATTAAAATAAAGAATATGTTCAACATCGAAAGATGGCATCAGAGAAAGCAGGAAGATAGAGAAAGGAAGAATTACACCAGTTACATTCAGCCGCTGCGAAAATGTTCCTTTGAGTCATAAAACTGTTTCGTACACAACGTATGTCTACAGCAACCATACGCATCGTTAAACGTCATTCGAAAATTCAAAGCGGGATAACGCGTTTTTCCAACTTCCTTTTATCCCTTGCTATTGCCGCCGCCGCAACAACAATAGCAGCAGCGGCAGCAATTTCCTCCGGCCTTTAGTGCCTTTCCAATTCCTCTCAAACGTAACTCAAAAGGGAGGCTCGGAACGGAGGAATTTTTTGAAACTTTCACGTGGCTCGGCAACAAACATGGTTATTTTGGCATTACCGCGAGATGTTATGCTAAGCGATGTTTCAATGATGTAACTCAGACGAGATAATGTACGTACGAAATTAATACGGACTGCGCACTATTGCGAGGACGTATGCAACGTACGGTACGTATCCTATTCTCTCTTTCTTCACGCCCGAGTTCGCAGAGTAAGAAAGCTGGGCGGAATACTCGATCTGCCAAGGCCAGCTGCCGGAGGGTGAACTACTTGATTTACGCCTTTCTTCCATCTTCGTTCGCGGAACATCCTCTTTGCCTTTCCCCGCCTCTCTCTCTCTCTCTCTCTTTCTCCCTCTTTCATTCCTCCCTTGAATGTTCTATTTCATCAGCTTAATTCGGTAGAGCCCAAAACGATTTAAAGTCTTAAGCCGATCTTTGCTCTATTTTTTCTTGAACAAGTTTAAAAGTGACATCGGCACGTACGCGTTAAGCGTGAATTTCAACGAAGTCTCCTCTTCTATACTTATCAAATCAATATATTTAGTTCAGTAATTATTTTCAAATTACTTAATCTATTTAGTTACAGCTATTCACCGAATTTATTTACGGCTTAGTGCGGTAGAACAAAAAAAAATTCTTTTTCCGTATGGGTGATAAATTCCTCAAATAAACTAACTTCTTCATTTTTATATTTCTTCTTCTAAAAATCTTTTACGCACAAAAAGTGTGCTTACGACCATCTCCTATCGTTATATGTTATCATTCCCTCCTCTCTTCTCTTTCTCACCTTTTTCTTTTTTAATTAAACCAATTAATGTGAACATTATATGATAATGACATTTTGTTCTTCTCGAGTTCATATTATATATATATATATACTTTTTTTTAAGTAAAATAACATAATATGTTGAAAATGTCATAATTTTGTTTAACACAAATTATTGCTTTCATTAGTGTCCTCGATTAATTAATTTCAATTTTTTTTATTTTGTCTGTCTGACTTATTATTGACTTACTACTACTGACTGACGTCTGACTATTGTTGACTATTACTACTTACCGAGGTACTACTACTTAATCGAGGAATATTTCGACCGTTTGACTTATCATTAATTTGTGTTACTTATTCGAATGAAAAATTCTCGACCGTCTCATTTGTCGTTGAATTATACTACTTCAACGAAGTCACGCTTATATCCGAAATCTTTGCGAGCTATGTATAGTTACGCTCCCTTTTTCACGCGAACGACTGCCGAATATTCCAGACTGGCGCTGGATTTTTGTCTGGCTGCCGAGATGCACGCGACAATAGACACTGTGAGGAAAATTTGCACGGGGAATTCCGCTTTCTGTTTCAGCGTCAAGACGGACATGGGTGCAGCAGGCGCGGTGTCCAGACTTTACATCGCGAACGCGAATAAAAAGGACAGCGGAAACTACAGCTGCGCTTTGGCAGATGTAGCAGCAGCCACTATGGTGTCCGTCCACGTGCTGAACGGTACGTTCTACGCGCGAAAATGCGAGCGCGTTTCCGTGCGCGTTAAAACCACACTTCCCGGGCCGTCGTCAAAGGACAGACGGTGGCCGGCCGGTCCCTGCTTGCTACCGATAAACGCGTTTGGGGGAGAACCGGGTGAATGGAAGGAGGGTGTCGGAGCCTGCTCTCCTCGGCATTCGACGTCTATCGATATAATTTTCCACTCTTACGCACGCTCGATAATTGATTTTCCACAGCTTCTCGACGGTACGCCACTGCCTATTACTGGTCCCTCTTTTCTTTTCCTGTGCGAGCCGCCTTCCGTTTTTCGCCTTCCTCGACTTTCTTACACTCTAAGAAGTCGCACTCGGAAAGCTCTCTCTCTCTCTCTATTTCGCTCTTCTGCGCATCTCGCGCCAATCGATCGTGTAGGAATACAAAGCTGTGATTTCATCAGGGTAAATAACCGGGGCTAGGTGCCGCAGTCGACAGACGGAGGCGCTGTCTGTTGTTGACGGCTCGCCCGATCGCTCCTCGTGATCGTCGCTGCGCGGTCTCGATTTCCGTTTTGACGACATTCCTGACTAAATGACATTTTTGACGGTGTCGGTCGGGGGAAAATAGTGCGCGGCGCGATATTAAGTAGGTGGGGAGACGATAAAACGAAGATTCTTGTTAACACATTATATATATACTTACTCGAGACTTTTTTCGCCGCTCGCGGCTAACCATGCTGTTTCGTATGCTCCGATTCCCCCTCTAATACCGGCGTATGGAGTATTCATGGAAAAGTTTGTTGAATATCCAGGTTGACCCATTTCATTCTTCAGTGTACGCTGCCGAGCTACCGTAGAATTCTTCTTCCCTCTGTAATTTCTCTCATTTTCGCTACATAGTCAAATTAACGTCTTTTTAAAAAAAAAGTGTACATAATTCTCGAACCTACTAATTCTTACGTTCTACAGTTGCGTTATGGGCGCAATGTGAGAGCAAGGGCGAGTCTCATTGCGATGAGAGATAGAGTCGAGATTTAATTCACCATACTCATAGAGGTTGCTAACGTGAATATTACATCGCAGCTTCACGCGTATATCTAGAATTTTAACGTCCGGCAAATAGAGAGACCGGTCTTTAAAACGGAAACGAAATGAATAAAGATTAACAGATGTACCAAATTTCTCTCTCTCTCTCTCTCTATATATATATATATATATGTATATATATATTCAAAAATATTATTTACGTCAAAGTGTGAAAAACGATTATTTATTTATGAATTTTTAAACATTATTTAAGTTTATTTGATATTATCTTGCTATATAATGTGTTAAAGCTTTATATCATAAATCATGTTTATAAACATTTAACACAGATTAACATTGTTGAGCTTCTACATGCTATGTTAATCATGTCTATCTTTCTAACATTTGATGTTAAGTGTCCCCAATTAATTAATTTCAATTTTCTTTATTTTGTCTGAATTATTGTTGACTTACACTACTTGATCGAGGAATATTTCGACCGTTTCATTCATCATTGACTTGTATTATTTATTCGAATGAAAAATTATCATAGCAACACCACGCATTATCACACATCAACCACCTTAATCCGGCTCAACGAGACTAAACGTATTTATTCATAGCTTATATCGACAATTTGTATTTTCACGAAAGCAGGTTAGCCCGATCGGTTGCTCCGTGATTCCGACGAGCGATTCACGGCGCGTCGCATCCGTTTGATCCGCCGCGGGATAACGTCCGCGCTCTTCCACCCTTCTTTATCTTTAAACGACGTAAATCGCGAAAGTTCCGCACTACGATGGAACGGCACACGTAAGTCGAGTCGATGACGCGTGCTCCCGCACGAAATGCCGCTAAACGCAAGCTTTATAGTGGCGGATGGGCGATGCCACTGCAGCAAGACGGTCGATATCGTGGGCTGGGGAGCGTCTTTCGAACTTATAGCGAAGGAGCTCAACGAGTTTTCACAGCGGCTTTTCGCGCTCAGGGCAGAGCGGCTCAGAGACGCCGCATCTAGCTGATGTGCATTATTTACGGCGGATTACCTTAAGTCGGTCCAATACGGGAGTTCGATCCTTTTGGCGAAGTTTGACGAGAGAGAATGAAAAAGAGAGAAAGAGACCGCGACCGACCACGGAAACGCCTGTTTGTGACGTATAATCTATAGCGTCTGGTTTCTTTCGCGGAAAATGAGGAGACGCGTAATCTGCCGCGGTCATGCGTTGCCGGTCGTCAAGAAAATCAAAAAGCCATGAAGGCGACTTACACGAGCGACTTTCCCTTCTCCGCGAAGAAATGCCGCGTCGAAATTTTGGTTCAACGTTAAATCTTTAATCTCTAAGTAGGCGCAAATTATCCTTAGGAGCATCAAAATTTCGACTCTGGAAGTGTCTCGTTCGCGTCACCTATACGCACCGCATCGCACCAAGCTTTACCTTTTATTCCGATACCAGCGTGTGGCGGGAGACCTCGTTGCTGGTTCACCGGGCGAATTCTCGACCACGTTTCCCCTTCGAATACATATTACCGGCAAAACAAGCGTCTTATTATCCCGCAACGCGTTCAGAACAGCGCGACGACAATCGGGTGGAGTTAGCGCTGGCATTACCGTCGCGATGAGTATGCGGAATGCGCAAGTCGCAGAGAGTTATTACCGGTGGTGCGTTGTATAACTACAAGAGCGATCATAATACTGGAAGTAATGCGAATTTGCTTGACAAGTAGTCGGACGCTCGAGGCTCGCATTCGAAAATAGTTTGCTGCGCCGAGAGTCGATCCACGTCCTGAAATTTCGCGCCGCCACTATCACCCCTCGTCGTCGGCCAGCTCGCGCTGCATCTCCAAGCGTGCATTTCTCACTTCCGCAGTTTCGTCGATCCGTTTATGCATGTGATCGACGTTAATGACGTTCGGACGTGCGAGAGAGAGGGTGAAATTTGCAAAAGCTGGGATCGGGGTCGTCTTTGACCACGAACGTTAACCGAGCCGCATCCTAATGCCACGAGAATCGATGAGAGATCGATTCTTCTTCACTGCTCGCGACCATTTGCATTAAGTGGCTACCCCATCGCCAGATTCACGAACATTCTCCGTCTGCCGATTCAGTAATAGGTTCGTAAGCTATGGCTTACAACCGCTTCGCTTCATGTGAGAATTCGTCGTGTCATCTCGGGTCAAAATTTTGGTGCTACTTCGACTCTCTTACGCTTAGTTTGCGCTTAGACTATTAGAAACGTAAATATAGAGAATTTTTCTTGAACATGTGAATACGTTGAACATGTTTCAGAAATATTCGCAATGGCACAACTGTACCCTGTTACTTTTGTCCTCGGCTTTCCTTACTTTACAGTCGAGAAATTGGTACGTCGATTTACCATACCTATTTCAGTTTTGGTGTTATCCCTCTATTAGAATTGAAATTGAATCTATTTTTGTTATCTTCGCCCCTACCGAATTGTATAATTAAAACTTTCAACGCAAGACCAAAATTTCAACTTTGGACGCGTACATTAATCCTCGCCGAAGTCGTGACGCGGATGTCCGAGTTGTCTCTCGCGATAAGCAACGCGCAGGAAAATATGCCGCTCGCGCCTCGTCAATATTCGAACATATTTTTAAGATTCTTTAGTTTATTGTGCAAATAAAAGCCGCACTTTGCATTTGTGTATATATATGTATGTACGTGTGGGTGAATGCACCGGCTGTCGTGCACAAAGCGGAGAAGTCGCTGCCGCGTGTAGAGCAAGAGCGAAAAAAGAAAGCGCGAGTTTAATTCTCCTCCGGCGAAGCGCGTGACACGCTCGTATGTCTTTCGGTGTTCTTCGTTTCTCTCTTTCCTTCTTTACAATTAATATGCCCTTAATAATGTACCGGGATACCCATCTTTGTAATTAATTACCCCCGAGATACGTCACGGTTATTAATTAAATACGAGCGCTGCCAGAGGCGGAGCACATTACCAGGCGCTATCTTAACGTACTTCGCCCCGAGGACGTCCTCGTGCTGGCTTTCTTTCTATCGCAACTTCTGCTCGTTCTCTCTCTCCCTCCTTCTCTTCGCTCCTCTTCTTTCTCTTAACTCGCGATCTCGCCGCTATCATTCTCCGCGCGCTTCGCAGAAGATTACTGTCGGTAAGATCGTTTTAGCCAAGGCACGCTTAAGTTACGACATATACATATATATATATATATATATATAAAAGCTTCGTTTAGTAGAATCGAAGATTCGCCGATAACTCGCGAGCCCGGATAAAAGCGGGAGTACCGTCGTTTGCGGTAGAGCTCTCAGAGGAAAAAAAGGGTAAAAACCTACTAAACGGTAAAACACGCCGCGTTAAGACCGTCCCCGGAGCCGTCGTTTGTTCGTTCTTCCTTTCTGGACGAGAGGTTTCCACGACGGCGGGAAAGGCGCGCGAGGCCGGGAAATGTGCGAGACCGGCTCGTTTTCGCGAAATGAGCGCTTCTGGGCCCGGTTAATGCGAGCTACGAGCGCGAACGCGCCACCACATCCAGCGGCTACTGGAGTGCGAGCGGTCGACGAACGGTCGACCGGTCGCCTCCTGGCACGGAAGCCAGCTCCGAGAGGTTATTTCGCGGGATGTCACGCCCTGCCCATTAATAATCGCAGCCGCAAGCTCCGCGAGGGCTACACGTCGACCCGCCTCTATCCTTTTTGTGACACGGAAGCCTGCTATGTCGCCTCTTCGGCATCGCCGTGGCTCCCAAGTCCGCAGCATACTCATCGTCTTCGTCTTCCTCGCGTTACGTCGTCGACGGGCGTGAGGAGTTTGCAAAACCGTCTCTCTCTCTCCACTCCCACCCCTTCTTTCCTGCTCGTCGCGAGAGACGCAGTTAACAGGTTCCGCGCGAGACGCAACCGTGCGGCCACGGCTATGTATAATACACACAGAAAGAATCTCCGGAAGCCGCTTGACAGCTCATTTCGCATCCGCCTTTCTCCACCGCGACGATTCTTTAAGTCCTTCCCGGGGGAGGGGTGGCGTTCGGAGAGTTGGCCGCGCAGCGGGAAGCGCAGGAAAATCGTACCCTCAAGCGCGCGATTAATCGCGTGGTGTTGGGCGCCGGAATATTATACAATTCCCGGCTTGTCGACGCGAATGAAAATCGATGTTCCCTCTCGGAGCGGGCCGCGAGACGATTAACTTCGAGACTCGCGTTACTTGAGCGAAGGAGGCGACCCTGCTGTGTTGTAGAATTAAGAGTTAGAGGATCCAAATTTTGACTCGGAAAAGAGACAGAGCCCAAGTCGAAATTTTGACGTTTCTAAGGACAGTTTGCGCTTACTCACCTCTCTCTTGAATCTCTCGTTTTTATAATAAACGTTCGAAAAAATATGTTTTACTTGCTTCTTTACCAGACTTATCAGATAACCTTCGTAGGAGTAAATTATATCATTAGAATTGGACGTATCTTGCTATCTTAGTTCCTATTTTTGTTGTGGAATTAAAAGTTTAATACAGGGTCGAAATGTGAATTCAGGGATTCCTCGCTGGGCTGAACGTCGACCGTGAAATCAGAATTATTAGAGCGATCGGCGCGCGCGGGATTTATGAAGGACGTGGAGAAAGCATCGTACAGTTGTCCGCGCGCTCGCGTGCGAGCTTGTACACAGTACTTGCACGTCGGCGCAACGTGATTAGCGAAGTCAATGAAATTACGACGCATTTGCACGCGATATTACGAGGCATCGCATATGTATGCGAGCAACATGAGTTATCGGCTAATTAATTTGTAATTAAGCAGAGATCGAACGCCGTCGCAAATTATTCTGCATAATCCGTGCGCCCGACGAATAGATTTCTGCCGATTAAATAAAATACCCGTGTGTTCCTACGTGACGTTTAACGCGTCCGCTCACCGATGTCACGCATGTGCGTGATGGCGATAATTCTTCTTTCCACGGTCACATAAACGAATTAAGTTTGCTTTACACGAAAGTAGAAGAAGAAATAAAATGTTATAAGGAAGTTGAGCTGTCACAGAATGTTGGACGCGATAATTTAAATCGCACAGCAGGAGGATATAAAATTATCTCACAGTGTAACGTACGTGCCGGACATATTTTCCAGATTTTCAACGTACGTGTGGTACAATAGCCACCTTCCACGTCAAACTGACCCATTTGACTCAAAATTAATATTCATATTAATTATTCCCCTCGAAATTCCTCACATACGTTGAAAGTCTGGAAAATAAAATCGACACGTACGTTTCAGTGTCGGACAATTTTATTTCTCTCGTTATGACCAAAATTAATACTTGGAATTACTTACACTTTTGCGATAATTTCTGGGGAATATGTCTACTTTTTTTTCCTCGCCTCTCCCGTTTTAAATACAATACGGCCTGTGGGAAGAATTCCCCAAATAAACCGTGAATATATTCAGTGAATATGTTCATACTTATCGTATTATCAACGTGCGCGACAGCTCGATATGTTTTTTATCTCTCCGTCCTTTCCCCCTTTTCCTCTTCTTTCTTCTTCCTGAGCTAAAGAGAACGTAAGAACCAATTCTTTCCTCTTATTTGTTTTGCATGGCAATGGAGAATATACTTCCATTCCTTCGGCGGATTAACGAAAGCGTTCTCAATAAGATAAGACGTTTCAGTCCGATGAGGATTCAGACGATTCAATTAACGGGACGGGGATCCCGGGATTAAGAGCCGGTTTACCAGGAACGCGCGTAAACAGAGTTGTAAATTTTTCTCAGACCAGCGGCGTTTAATTGAATCTTGGGGAGGGTGGCCGTTTGTATGACTAGCCGTTAAGAGTGCCACGTGGATAGCATGTTTTCGACTTCGGGGTAACTTCCGAATCGATTGAGGTGAACCCTTTACGTTCGATTGCAGCGAGAATGTAAAGAGAAACAACGGAGTTAATGACTAGTGGAAGAGGAAGAAAAAGAAATAGAAATAGATGCGATATGCGCGACTGATGATCCGCCGAGTGTATATTTTTCGCGGAAGTTTCTCAAATCATCCTTTCGGTTGGGCACATTCATTGGTTAATAAAGATGCTTAATGTACCGTATTACAGGCTGCAACACAGAATTTATAAAGGCCTATCTTGTTAATTCCTGCTGCATCTGTAATTAAATATAGGAGATTACAATTGTATTATCGGATTGTGTGAAATTTGCATGCCGCGATACCGCGGCATCTGATATATTTACACGCGCGCAGAGAGGACAATAAAACCCGTTCAACGTGCGAATGTGGTGACAATTATTAGAATCGCGTTCCTACAATAAACAAATCGTTATAAATCCACACGTTGACGTCTCTCTGCCCGATATTATGTATATAATGAGAAAGGCAGACAATGACGATGAATAATCGACGTAACGTTATTACACCAGAGGGGCGAGAGTCGATAAATCCATCTTTCTTTTTCGCGAAAAGCTTTCATCAAATGAGCAAATCACTTCCGTAATTAGCGCACTTTATACTTCCTCCGCGCGAATCAGCGTATCCCATTTGAACGTGAAATAAAGGAGACAGTTTTTCTGGCGATCATCGCACGCTCGTTTTAAACAGCGATAAAAGCGATATTTTTTCCCCCCTACGTCGCTGATGAGTGGTTTTCGATCGGCCATTTACGAAACTCGCGTGGACCGCAGCTTTTGTCACTTTTCAGCGACGGTCGGAGGCCGGTCGTAGGATTGCATTGCATTTGATATTTTACTATGGATTTCATCGACGGCCGAGTTCGCGTTTATATTTGGAATTTTTCGGCAATTCCAAAGCCAAATACCGGTTGCAATCACCATGTGTGTGCCGATCCCTCGGTTTTTATCACCACGCCTATAACTTCCCGCGTGACATGCCAAATAAAACGATTGAAACGCCATTCTCGTTTGATCGGTGAACGAGCAAGTGTGCGTGCTTGCAGAGTATATTTCGTTCATTAAAGCGTAAAATAGATTACTTACAGTATACATATAATAGACGAAGAGCACCAAAACCGATATACCATTTTGCTTTTGAGCTCTAAAATCCTCTATCTTATGAAAATGTCGGTTAAAAAGCTAGTAAATTCAGACATATCGGTTTACAGTGCAACCTAATCCTAATTTTTCTTGCATGATTCAATGACAGATGATGGAGATTGGTTCACAAGATTCCTAAAGTGATTTTGAAAGCTGAAAACTCACGCTATAAAATAGCGTTGTCAAATAAATTATTTACCGCTGGTTTATTACTGTAATTGTCACGAGATCAAATAATGTTAATAACACAACCGAACATGCTTGCAAACAGTAAATGCCATTTCAGCTTCAACTGCATTATACACAATAAGCGAAGTTCATGTTCTGTCCGACAGAATCACTTTATATCCGAGAAACATGGGTATGTCGTTTACGATATCTATGTCAGCTTTGATGCTTTTTCCGTGTTAAAATTTCTACCAGCTAAAATTCATTCCAAAAATGTTATTCATTAAAATTCTATTGCAATAGAAAACACTTCACTTCTGTTTTTGCTTTTTCTGCCATTTTTGTTAATCTTTCAGTTTTGATGCTTTTCCTCTATGAGTATCTTCACGGATATTTTTAACGGTCGAATAGACTGCTGTTAATTCTACGGTTTGATTTATCGTCCGATTTCGCGGTGTTTCCTGCGTGTTGTCAATAAACCGGGACGCCAATAATGGCACGAAGAAGTATTGCGAAAGTCAATAATTTCAGGACACAGAGATAAAGAAGTAAGAGCGGAAATTTAATCGCGGAATGGATAAGAAAAGGGCGGAGGAAAATGTTGTGATAACAAGCCGTCTTTGTTGTCGGCCGGTTGTCAAACGTTCCCGTGGAAGAAGTTGAAGTCCAAAGTGGAGATATTGCTCTCGATTATTATCGGGGATTTCGCACTTAACCTATACGTGTCTCTCTTTTAAAACCCTCCCCCGCTCATGTTCTCGGAAATTTTCTCCACCGCTAAATCCGAAGTGAAGAGTGTTTTTCTTCCCTTCTTCCTCTTCTTCTTCTTCTCCTCGCTCAAGGAAGAACGCGGAGTAGTTATTACTTCAAGCATGCGATGTAACGACGAGCGCTCGCGCTGATTTATCTGAAAGGACGACGATTTAGCAATGCCAGTACCGCAACAAGCGCGTATGCGCGCTTTCTGCGCTATCAGGCCCCGTTGCGCGCGCGCAACTCGCATGAAATATAATATTTGTTAGGATACACCCGCGCACGCTGGAAAAATGATACTCGACAATATGAGTGGGATATCGAGGACGCGCGTGCGACGATATTTTTCGTAAATATCTCCTTTTTCGGAAAAATCTGCTCGCGTCGCGGCCTCGAAAATATCATTCGACGTTGCATCTTTCCCCGTCGCTTCCTCCTATAAACAGGAGTATACATATACGACGACGGGGCCGGCGGTGTACGTGCATGCATATGTATATGGGTTGAATTAATCGCGCGTATTTCCGCGCTCTGTTACAGGGGAGAATCCAGCTGCCATGCAACACGGCGGTACCACGGCCCCGAGGGCGACCTTTATCTTCACCGTTGTGATATCACTGTCGTCGCTCCTAAGGTGACCGTGATGACCCCGGTGCATTTTGGACCTGCGATTCGAATGGTGCTAACTTTTCTCCCTCCCCGCCCCGTGGTGAGAGACTCTCGCGCGCGCGCCCGGGAATATGTATCCTCCCGAAAGCGGAAACGGGAACCTCGGGCTCTCGGTGTTACAGGGCCTCCTCCCTCTCCCTGCCCGCCATCATCCTTCACCTCTATGGGCGACCTAAGCCGCCGACGATCGATCATGCGAATTGCAGGACGGATCGCTCTATCGTTTTCGCGCGAGACTACGAGACTACGAGGCGTGTGTGACAACGAAAGAGGCATTACCACCATCCCCGCTGGTTCTTCGAGGCACGTTGGGATTCGACTCTCTCGGACGCAGCTTTACTCAGCCGGGCACCTCGCGGTTTTCTACCTCGCGCAATTCCGACGCGCGTCAACGCGGCTCCACTAACAACATTCCGGACTCCCTCCCTCCCTCGGCAAAAAACACCCTCGACTAATCGCACCCCCGGGAGACGGCAACGACGTGGGATTCGCGTGGAATGAATAACGTGCGCTCGCGTGCAAGCGCGCCGTGAATTTCGGGAAGAACGAAAGAGAGAAATTCTTCGCATCCGCGTCGCGTGTCTGATCTCTCTCTCTCTCTCTCTCTCTCCCTCCTTCCTTCTCTCTTTCTCCCATCAACTTTTATTCTCCCTTCCTCTTTACGCGGTACTAACGTGTTGCACGCGTTATCTCGCGTGTCCGCGATGTTCAGACGTGGCGAGAGAGCTGGCAATTAAAATGTTCCGTTTATGTGATATGTGTAAACGCGACCAGTCGCGAACATGTGTTTTTAACGACGGTGGAAAACAGCCGCGCGATGATTCGGTCAACTGCATTCGGCGAGACATGTTTATCTGTTTTTCCCTTCTTTTTTTTTATCGCTGCACCTTGCTTCGTTGCGAGGCTTTTCGGTATTCGTTCGAAGCTACCGAACGACCTATTGTTTTTTTTTTTTTCTGCGGGATACCACTGTAAACACGCTTTACATTTTCTCCAGAGGTTCAGAGATGTAAGTTACATTCGTGAACGCTCTTCTCTTGAGTTTGATGCGTTATTTTCGACTTTTTCTCTCCTTCTTTTTCCTTTTCTCGGAGGGTGTGACAACGAAAAGCTTTCTATCGATCGGAGGAAACGAAGTCTTACGAAGAATACGGCGAGTGCGTTTTGTAAGCAAAGTTCGAAGACTTGCGCGGAAGATGTGTATATATATATACTTTTGTATATATATATACTTTTATATATGTATATACAAACACCCATACATACACATATACATACATACATATATAAATATATATATATATTTGTTGAACTTATATTGCGTGTGAAGTGTTACGTACTTTTAGCGTGCGAGTGACGTTAGTACGAAAGTTCACGAGATTCCAAAATGCTGAACGAATTCGTAGACACCGTCCAAAGAATCCGACGCATTTGACTACACCGGCGAATGAGGTGACGTTTGCATTTGGACTAGAGATCATCTCGACGTCCGGCCAACGGGGAGATTTATCGGACTGAACAGATCGCGCGGGGTTTCCTTTCGTTTCGCGCGCGAGTTACGCAACCATGTAATCGCGCTCTACCGAGAGGTAATGGAGATCAGGGCAATTCGTCTGATACCTCTCAAATTTTGATAGCCACGTACTATGTGCACATACAAACATACACACATACATACAGATCACTTAACCACCCACCCATCTACATATCATCTATATTCCTCCTCTACCGCGTACGAACGCGGGTTTTTATGAATCAAATCGGAATTCGCTCCTCATCGGCAGACGCTTTCGTCGAGCAGCGTCTACATCGCGGCTTTCAAAAAGCGACCGATAATTATGCCGTCGTGAGAATGGCAAAAAACGTAGCACTAACATTTGTCTACACGTTTGTGCCACGTCGTTAAGGCCAGTCTGCATAAATTACAACACGCAAAATATAGTTTGCAGGCGCAAGGAAAAACGTATGTATGCTATACCATTTCCTGAACTGAAAATTATACGATTTCCAATCTTATATAATCCATAAAATTGAATATCACACAAGTAACTCTAATTATAATAACGGGCTTATATTGGTTTCCTATATGCAAATCCAAGTATATTATTTTTACACGCATAGACGTCTAAAAATGACACATTTGACTACGTCAATTAAAATGTTTAATCGTGTTAAATTATAAGTTAACACGTCCGATCGTGTTAAATGACGTGATTTAAAACGGCAAGGAATATTGGTGGCCAAACGGCGCACAGCCAATCAATATTGCGGAAAAATTACTTCATCTCATATTTCGGATAAAAATGAGATTTCCAATTGGTATCATAGCGAAATAACCTATTTTGGGACAATTTGGGCTACTATAATTGGAATCTATGCTGTATCTCGGCAAATCATGAGAAATTTTCATGCGGGGTTCCATTCGTTGTGTCGACTTGCGAATGCATGCCCTTTGCGTGCGATGGAACGTTATTTTGCGTGCGCGTCTGCGAACTGCGTTTTGCGCGTTGCAATCTATGCAAACTGGTCTTTATTCGCTTCGGGAACGGGGTTCACAGTGGATCGAAGAAATCGCTCGCCCTTGCCGAGCATGAAATAACGATCGCGCCGCTATTGTCCTCCGCATGCGAGCGTTTGGGTTTACATGTCCGGCGTGAGCGGGCGACGCAAAAAATATGCGACGAACATGAGCGACGAAGATACATTCATCCGTCGTCATTCACTTGTCCGCTTAAAATATGCCTGACGTTGACGAACGCCAAATAAAATCCGCCGGCGCGGAGGGGGGAGGCGGATACGCGTTGCGCCCGTAAAAAATTTCATCATTACCGAAACTTGACTACGACCGTTCTTGTCTGCCGGCTGTTCGACATATTTTTTATCCGTCCCCTTTCGCCCCACCTCCAGCGACACGGTCAGACAGCTTGTGCACGGCTCTTTCGTTTTTTACGCGTATAATGCTGTACTTTGTGAATTTTGTGTTTTACGCGTCGGCACCGTTTCGCGTCTTCTTGGTCACTCGAGGGTACTGCCAGGAATTTCGAGGGTACTTTCGGAATTTATAGTTGCTTCAACAGCCGGCGGTTATGTTTAATTCACTATATAAAAAGTGACGCTGCTCTTTTTCCCAGGTAAAATTCAAGCATGAGGTATGCATACACCTCTCTACGTGCGGCAACTTTTCGTGTACAAAATTGCACAGAAATTGTGAATAATAATGAACTCTAGGCATTTCCGCTCACGTGCGGCGCAATGCGCAAAAACAATCGGGATCTCCCGGAACTGTCACTGCCTGATTTGTTAGGTGATATTTTAATAATATGAAAAGACATTTTAAAGTTAAATTATTTTTGTACACATCCAGGAAGAATGTGACGCAACGTTTCAAGAACGAGTTTAAGGGGGTATTCTCATTTGAAACGTCTTGTGACTTTTCGAAATATTTTGGGGGAAAATTATGACATGCAATTCTGATGATTTGTACAAATATTTATATATATTTCAACTATATACAGTAATTTCTACACATTATCTCCAATATTAATAAAGTTATAAATAACTTGATGTAGCGCTGGTTGAAAGTTTTGCTTGCGTGGTCACTATGATTCCAAACATTGTAAGCTTCTGAAAACAAGACAACGACAAATTTATAATACTATAAGCTTGTAGTTTTTAACAAATCGGAACATTAAAAATACAAAAAAAATATTGACTTCATTTTCGCAGAGACAGTAGCCACAAGTTTATAGTTTCATCATTTTCGTTTCAGAAACGAACAGCAGAAATCGTGGCAATCAACCTTTCGTGTTCAGAACTAACAAAGTCATTTATTAGCTTTATTAATATTAATTAATAGTTTCATTAATATTCAGAATAATAATGTGTAGAAATTACTACATATAGTTAAAGCATAGATAAATATTCACGCAGGACTTCGGGATTGTATGTTTTACAGTTTTTTTCTGAAAGAATTCTTAAAAATCACCTACCAAACGAAACCAAGTTCCGGATAAAAATATTCTCTTAAAGAGCTGCTGCTTCGTGAAACTACTGTGTGTTTTATCGCGAACGGCCCCCCATTCGTCGTCGTCGTCGTCGCGCGTTATAAATTACACGCTTTGAGAACACGTTAGATTGGTTTGCATAAAAAAACAACGTTAAAAGGACTTAATGAAACGGCGCGGCCAGGGAGACGCTCGGAGCGCGGAGAACGCGGAAGAGCCGAATTCGGGAGGAAAATCGGGTTAAGTCCGCAAATAACCGCGTGTACAGCCGGTATTTGCATTTTAGAAATTTTATAACGCCGCCGCCGCGCGCGCGATGCGCGGTAGTGAGTATACGATTGCATTAGGGATGTACTGAGGCGGAATTGCACATGCATGGAATCGGAAGTGGCGCGGGGGGAGGGGGTAGCGCAGTAAAAGCGCGCGACAGTCGGACAAGGATCGATCGCGGCAACAAATTGCCGATCGTGCCGATGGAAAATGAACCGTTAAGCAGCCCTTCGTGACAATGACGTACGGTTAGTTTGGCGTAAATCAGTGGGCTCTACTCTGCACTATGCTGCTCCGCTCTAACTACAATAACGCCTACCCTCTCTCGCTCGCCCGCCGGCTGCGTAATGTGATAATTTAACAGAAGCATTATTGCACGAGCAGGTGCAAAATATTTCAACGGGAGACGCGTGCGGCCGCACGCGATCCGCTACGCAAAAACCGCATCCGCGCGTAACCAGAGTCCGCGATAAATTTAATTATTATTTCGAGCGAGAAAGGCCGAATACCGAATCCAGATATTGGGAATGCATTGAATTGTAACGGCACCGTCGCTCGAATGTTTCGCGGCTGAACTTTCCATCCGGGCTTCTCTCTCTCTTTTCTTTCCGCTCCTCCCCCCCCCTCTCTCTCTCACTCTTTCTGTCTTTCCCTGCTTCGATCTTTGCTTTCCTTCCGCTTTGCGTTTTGCCGTTTCTCCGCGCTTTACTGTCCGGTATTCTCTATCAAATCGACACCTCCTTCTTTCTTTCTCTCTCTCTCTCTCTCTCTCTTTCTCCCTTCTTTCTCTTTCTTCCTTTCGTCTTCGTTGTCTTTATATCTTTCAACGAAAGTTTCAAGGGCCGTTGTCTATTTTGTACGCCTTTGTTTCCGCGCAAGAGCGCAAGACTCAAATGTAGCTCACGGCTTTAATTCGTGGGAGTCCCATTTGCGAATTAACGTTAAAAGCGCGGTAAAAAGCACCGACGGACAGTTTTACAATTGCTGGTGGCGTAAACGCAAATTTTTCGCGGCGGGCTATTCGTTCTCGCTTGACGACAGGCAATACGACCGAATGTTATCAGTTTCGATTGTTTACCTGCTCCGCGCGTTTGTTCGCGCGGAATCCATTTTCGGGAAAGATAGGGGGAAAATTTTTAGCTCGCACCGTGCGACGGACATTGGTCATTTGTTAGAAAGACTCGCTCGATTAACAGTACGACAGTCATCACCATTATTCTCGATTTCTATTACGTCCAAATGAGCGCTGGTGATGAATCATTCAGCGAACACGATTCCCTAATGAATGAGAGTTAAGCCTCCAAGTTGGGGCGAGCTTATTTTTTGCTGCTTAGTTTGGCACTGAGTGAGATTCAGCATTACACATTTTCAACAAACATTTTCATATATATATTTTTTTACTTAAATATTTTTAATGTACACATACGTACAGTACACAAATATTTTAGTTTTGAATATACAAAAAAAGATAACTTGGACAAATTTGTCGCAATTAATATTTTTAAAAATTATATACATATATTTATTATAAGTTATACACATGCGCAAACTGAACAGTTGCGCATCGATTGAGTGAGCGTTCAGTGAGTTCAGGTAGAGATGTACGTTGAACACTTCAACTCTATTACTGATCGGAGCGATTTGGTTGCGCAACTGTTGCGCAACTGTTGAGTCTTACGAACGCACCCATTAATTCCGATTTAGGGAGCAGCATCCTAATATTTTCGCTTGGATCAATTTGTCCTGTGAGCGTGAAACTAGGGGTAACAAAACACTGCGGTTTTTATTCATAAATTTAGTTTCACTACCATTTAACTAACCGTCGATGTTCCCATCGAATATTATTCATTTATTTCGTTGCCCGTATAAAACTCGATAGGAATCGAGCGCGACCAGCGCGGCGTCAAATGCAAAAATGATCGCGCCACATTAAATCCCGTTGATCCATGCGAGTCACGAACATATCGCGCGTAATCGAAGTAACGTTAAAATAAGGCTCGTTTCGATAATGGACAATGAATAACATTTTCAACCCCGACTCTCAACCGACCCGAGTTCCGCCCCCGCTGCTGCCCGCCCGGAGGTAAAACGTGTGAAATTTCCGGCAGCAGATATTTCCGTTTGTAGCGCGCACCGTAAATTAATACAAAATATACACATAACGATTCGGCGAATATACGTGGTGCGCGTCGTAAGGGTGAGCGCCCGGTGTGCGCGCCCGATTATTGCGGCGTCGTTTAATTTACGAGTGATACGAATCGTGGATTTCGGTATCGCGAAATTTGCACGTTTATCTCGCGGAGGTTACGCTTGCTCGCTCACTCGCTCGCTAATCTCTCCGCTTAGAAACAAACAAGGAGGGAGAGAGAGAACGCCCCTACCTACGCGCTTCGTTCGACCTCCACGCATTTTTATCAGATTAAGCTTAATTAAAAGTGGCCCTCCGGTGAATATCATTGTCCGTCGTTTAATTCCTCTTCTTCGTTTTGCTCGGTTATGGGACGCGTTTCCCACCGTTGTCCAGCGCGCAATGTGTGACGATTACCTGCACACCCGCCC